GTTCTTTCATGCCTTTGTCTTAATATTCAAAGTCTTTTAGACTCTTTATCTCATGATTGGAGCAAGCCGAGGGTACCAAGAGAACTCTTTGGTTCTTTTATGTCTTAATATCAAAGTCTTTTGACTCTTATGATTCGAGCAAGCCGAGGGTACCAAACTGAACTCTTTGGTTCTTTCATGTCTCTTCATATCCAAAGTCTTTTGACCTTTTCATCTTATGAGTTTCCCAAGCCGAGGGTACCAAAACTTTGAGTACACTTTTGTTATATTCAGTCTTTGTCTTAAGACTTCTTAAAATCCCTTTTCCAACTCCCAACATGCACTCCCATCTATAGTTTACAATTCTGCTCGGGACAATGTCCCCAAAATTGAATCCGACAGAACACTATTAGATTAGTGTCTGCTTATGATCTTTTTTGGGTTTTAAAAGAAAACACAAACAAAAACAAAAACATCAAAAACAAATAAAGTAGATTTGAGAAGTAACAATGGAGGACAAGTGAGTGAAATATTCTCTGGAAGTGGATGTTGGTGAAGGAGGAGAAACAGAGTTTGGCATTAAAGACGGACAAGAGCGACAGAGGTTGAGTGTGGTGAAGAAAGAGGACCAGATTTCTGTTGATAATCGACGGACAAGAGCAACAGAGGTTAGTCCATAATTAAATGTTGGTTCAATAATAGTAACAAACATTAAATAGGCCGGTAAAACCTCGGATGTGGCATTTAGTAGTGGCGCAGTGGTGGGAATTTAAGGTTGTTGGTGGTTGAAATAAATGTTAACCTTTGATGTCCAGCAGGAAGATGGTTCGGGAGATGGACAAGACGGTTTGTGTTCTAGAAGGAAGATGGACGTATTCTACTACAGGTGCGTGGAAGTTTAAAGTCCGTAGTGGACAAATGGGAAGATGTATGTCCATCAAGAAAGATACAAGATTTGAAGGGTTGAAAAGTTTGGTAGCAGATGTTTTGGGTGTGAAGTCAGCTGAGCATCGATTGGCTTTAAGCTTCTGGTATCCAGCGGAAACAACTGCCTTCACGCAAGTAAAGATGCCTCCTATCTCAATAACAAATGAAGTGGAATTGGGGTTGTTTAAGATGAAGCATCGAGAGTACGGTGGACTTTATTTGTACGCAACTCTGATGGGAGAAGGTGAAGAAGGGATATTGGCTACCAACCCAATGGGAGAAGGTGACGAAGGAAGGTCTCAAGAAGGAATAGATGGGCAGCACGATCAACATATAGCTAATCCAGATGGTGGACATTTGGCAATGGGGGGAGCATGTGGTGGACATTTGGGAATTGCAGAAGCAGACAATATAATGTCCAGCAAAGATGATGTAGATGAGCAGATGTGTACTCTAGAAGATGAAGTTTTGTTGGATCATCTAGCCACCGTGGAGGCCATTCACAAGGCACAAACTGACGTTGGCGAAAGGGGTAAGGAACATAAAAGAATAAGAGAGGAGGAGGTGGAGGAACAAGATGCAGTGGACATGTTGGGGGACCTATTTGATGAAGCGAATGATCCATCAAGACAAACATCTCTTGGTTCGGGAGAGGAATCAGATTATGATTTTGACGAGTGGACAGACCGGATAAACAAAGAATACCCGCCTGATTGGGATCCTTATGTTAATATGGCAGTTTTCAACAGTGACGAATGTCCTCTGTCCACGTACATGCACTTGCTGAAGACAACAAATCCAGGAACAATAACGGACATGCACACCTCGATGGACAAAGATGCGAATGTACTTTTCAAGTATATGTTCTTCGCTTTCGGTGCATCGATATCTGGATATAAATATCTACGGAAGGTGATAGTAATTGATGGGACGGCCATGAAGGGGAAGTACAAAGGGTGTCTAGTTGCTGCTAGTGGACAAGATGGAAATATGCAAATCTATCCATTAGCTTTTGGGGTGGTAGATGGAGAGAACACAGATGGGTGGGTGTGGTTCTTCAAGAACCTGAAAAAATTTGTCCCCGACGAAGAAGATCTTGTCTTTGTGTCTGATAGACACGCATCCATCTATGCTGGTCTACGGGAAGTTTATCCTATAGCACACCATGGATCGTGTACTGTGCATCTTTTCAGGAATGTGAAGCATAATTTCGGGTGTGCTGGCTTGGCAGCAGTTGTTAGCAAGGCGGCAAGGGCGTATACGGTAGGAGATTTCCGTGTATGGTGGGCTGAAATAGAGGAACGTGAACCAGAGTGTGCGACTTATCTTAAGGAAATAGGATTACCACATTGGACATTATCTCATTTTCCAGGCGAGTTACAACCTGATGAGTAGCAATATATCAGAGGCTTTGAATGCGGCAATGCAAAAAGCGATAGATTATCCGATTGTCTCGATGGTCGAATTCATACGGGCAATGTTGATGAGGTGGTTTCACTTAAGGAGGATAAAAGCAGCAAAAACGAGAACTAGATGTACACCAGAAATTGAGGCAATTCTAATAGACCATTTGAAGGATGCCGTAAACTGTGCAGTGTTGTCCGCAAGTGATTGGGTATACCAAGTAAACGATGCTGCAGGGTGTGGTTTCATCGTGGACCTCGAGAATAAAACATGCACTTGCCGCGTTTTTGATGTATTGAAGGTACCTTGCTGTCACGCATTAGCTGCTAGGGGAGTGAGACAGCTAGATATATACAGCTTTGTGGATCTGAGTTACTTTGTGGAGCCATGGCGAAAAAAGTATGAGAAACTCATTATGCCGGTGCCTAAGGAGAAGGATACGGACATCCCAGCTGTAGTTCAAGAAGTACCTATTAATCCGCCTAAGGAAAAACGCGGTGGGGGTAGACCAAAGAAGAGAAGAATCCCGTCACAAGGGGAGAAACGTCGGGTAAGTATAAATGATTGTGTGGACTATAACTAGATTGCGGTGTATGCTTGGGATGCTTCTAATCCACTTTTGGTTACGTCTGTCAATAAGGTGAGGAAAAGGACAACTCCATCCAGATGTGGAAGGTGTAATGGGGTGGGACACAATAGGAAGACTTGTTCCAACCTTATATGAAGTAGACAATTTTTCTGCAGGTTCAACGTGTGATGGCAGACAAATTATCTAGTTTTTAGAGGTTTTTGGATATTTTGCAGGTTTTTGGAGGATGATGGTTTAATGATGGTATAATTTTTTGTACAATTCAGAAGGTCTGATCTGTGGACTATAATCGGGGTGTAATGTCTGTTATCTAATTTTGGATTTGTAAAATGTGATTAGTGGACCAGAATTGGGAATTTAACTGGTCCACCACATATAATCGGGGTATGTATTTTGCGGAGTCTTGTAGAAGTGTTTTGGTCCACAAGTGTAAGGAGTTTGTCGTTTATGAACAAGCATTAAACTTGCGGTTGTGTGATTGTTGTGGCAGTAGTGGGGAAAAAATACACGTGCGTTGGATAATTAGTATTAGTTAATCGTAGACATACTATAGTTCAATGGACAAATCCTCTACGTGGACATACATAGATTGCACTACATACTACGCTCCATACTTTCCCAAAGCCATCCTGAGAGAGACAATACAGTATACGTGTGCCCTCAAATGAGAGGGAATGATAAAAATGTGTGTAATGGGGAGATATATTTGCACTGACCTGTAAATTTGGATGGTCCAGAACTCTTAACTGTTGAAGCGGAATCTGCATCACGTTCAATATATATATAAGCAAACAACAATTTACTGCAAGTACAAGACACATGTCAAGAAGATCCTTTCTAAGTTAAATTGGATTTACCTTGAGCACTGCACACGCCTGATGCAGCTCATCTTTCCGAATGTTTCCCATACCATCAGCGTTACCTGCAGCATAAAATAATTCATCTAGTGTTCAAAATGAATTCCAAACTGCATCTTAGTAAGCATCCCACTAAGAAAAATCCACAGTTCGACAACTTTCAAAAGGAAACTAATACAACAACCAGAAAAAAGTATGAAAAAGGCATATTACCAGTAGACAAGCATAATATGTGAAGATTGTATGCATTGGAAGTGAGGTAGTTTATCGCTGGAGAAAAGAACCTGTCAAAGACTCATCTCTCAGCAAAACAATCTTTGACAAATCGATCAATCAATATCCGGAGAGACGCATTATCAAAAATATCTAACATTGACTCATCATCAGGATGTGCAAAAACGAACATAACATTTTTCTTGTCAGGGGTATTACTACCTGAAATCAAGTACAATAAGATAAATCAAAATTCTGAAAAGAAACAAGTCTTAACCGGTAAAAAAAATTGTCTTTCCGGCTACTTGCCATCACCGATAATAGCAGCTTTGGAGTTAGATGTTCCTCCGAAGAAAATTTTGCATAAAGAAGCCACCCAGATAACAATCAGAGAAAGAGATACCACAAGCCATGCCATCTGAAGATTTTGAGCAGATCAGAGACTTTTTCAATTTAAAGAATGAACAGAGCCGTGAAGAGAAGAACACTTCCGTCGATGACTATGATCTTTTATTCTCCGGTACTAATGCTCTGAGTTCTCTGCCACCGATGATCATCAGTAGGGATCCGAACCTTTCCCGGCCACGGCTGGGTTTTTTTTTTCCGATTTCACTTTTTTTTTGTGTACCTGTTTCCGTTTTGTAAAGCCCATGGGCTTTTTATGGGTTTTGGCCCTCTTAATATGTTTTTGAGATTGGTGATTGCGTTTAAGTGCCAAAGCCAGATTCTTGTAAAAGAGAAAATGATGAGTTCGTCACGAGTAGTTAAAGCTAAAACTATACTTTACGATATCTCTAATTGTATCAATTAGGAAGGGATTATTATTGTCTATACCACATTTAGATAGGAAAAAATCAGAAATGCCAGTTTCGATTGTGGCTTATTAGGAGTGCCACATTGGATGAAAAGGGGAGGGACAAATTGACAAAACTACCCCCTGGGCAGAGAGAGTGTGATTTCGCGGGTTGCTTCAAAAATAGAGACCGATGGGACAACGTTCGGCAGAAAAGAGAGCATTAAATGAAGAGGGTGGCATCTATTATCCAGAGGACAACGATTAACAAATAAAAACTTTGGATTCATTTTAAACAAATGTTCTGAATCAAGAAAAAAAAACTCTTAATTCCAAAATCACAATGACACATGAATAAATTGCTTAAAGTAAAGAAACAATAAATCTAATCAGAGATGGATTGATCAATTGTAAAAAAACCGAAAACACAAAAACAAAAACAAATCCAAAACCAAAACCAATACCAAGAACGAAAACAAAACAGTAAAGATAGAAATATACCTCAATGAAGCGGAGACAAACGTCTAGGGTTAGATTCGAAACATAATCCCTAAAACAAAAGTTAAAAACAAGACAATTAGTAAATCTGAAAACCCTAAAAAATTCACCAAATAGAAATCAGAGAAAGACATCTAACCAAAGCCCACGAGACAGAAGAAACCTAACCGTCTATTGAAATAGTTTCTTGCCGAATCAACAACCAAACAAAATATAAACCCTAGATCTATACAACATACGAACGATTAGTAAATCTAGAAACCCTAAAAAAACAGAGGATCGGAGAAAGAAACCTTATCAATCACCACGACGAGTAAGAAGAAACCCAACCGCCGATTAATATATTTTGTGTCCGAATCAAACCAAACAGAACAAAAACCCTAGATCTGTCCAAAATAAGAATTAAGAACGATTAGAAATCTTGAGACCCTAACAAAAACACAAAGAGGATCGGATCAGATCAGAGGAAGAAACCTAACCAAATCACCACGAGAGAGAAGAAGCCTCAGCCGATTGAACCAGTTTCGTACCCGAATCGGACCAAAATCAAAACCCTAGAACAATACAAACACATGTAAGAACGATTACACAAATCAAAACGTATATAATACAGAGAAATTAAAATTGAACGACATACCAATCTTCTTGATTTCTTCATCTCACTCTCCTCACCATCTTCGTCAAACCAGAAGAGAGAAAAAAATAAATTTGAGGAAAAAAAGAATATGTGAAAATATTTACTGATACAAACCGAAACTGAAGATGAGTGGGCCTTAGTGGGTCTTTGACTTAGGCTTAGTGTTTAAGCCCAATTTTCTCTATATTGTCTTCTATTTAAACTCTTCTTCTTCTTTGTAATGGGTTATCGAAAAGATCAACAAACAACATTATCTTCTTCTCTGTTAGTCACGATGCTAACTTATTCTTCTTGTTAAGTCACAGGCTTAACACTTCTCTTCTCATCTAAACTCTGATCTTCTGATTTCTCATCTCTTTCTTCTACTTCTCATCTAATTTCTATTAATTTCTTGATAGAACAAAACCTGGTTCTATCATTTACTCTGATAATAATATATATATTGTTGCGTTTCATAGGCGCGTCTCCGTAACGGCTAATTGTTGTTATACATGATCTGACCGTTGATTCGTCAGATGCTTTCATCGAATGGTTCTGTATTCTCCCGATTAAAAATAAAGTGAAAGAGCAAAGAACAAAAAAAAACCAAACGGATCTTGTGGGCTTAGATGGGTTTTCAGCCCAATAAGATCAATTAGTTTAAAATTCAAAATTTGAAACTCTTTTGTTTTTGTATATATCTGTAACGGGTAATTATATACATGATCTGTACCGTTGATTTGTCAGATGCTTATATCGAACTGTTCTGTATTTTTCATAGCGTTGCGTTTCTCTAACGGATAATTATTATTATACATGATCCGATGTTGATTCGTCAGATGCAATCGAACGGTTCCATATTTTAATTATTAAAAGTCGTTTTTTTTTAATTTGAAAAATATAAACAAACGCAAAAGCAAAGGAGAATATAAGATTTTGGACGGGCCTTCTAGATTAGATGGGTTTCATATTCTAAGCCTAATAATCAATACAAAATTAACTTTCTGTTGTTGTTTTCTTTCGATCTCTTGGGTGAAGACTCTTGTTGTTTAATTTTGCAAATCTATTATTGTTTGCCTAAGATTTGGCTAAAACTCTTGTTGTTTGCAATTTTGTGGTTGTGATTCAAATGCAGGAGTTTTACATATGGGCCTCATAAAGAGTTTTAAACTCGTAAGTAAGCCCTATGCATATTATATTACTATGAATCGTTATTTTTTTTCTTTGCCTCACCGGTGGAAAACAACACAAGTCGTACGATATGTTTGCTTCGACCGTACGTGATCGATCGTTGGCTCCTTGCTTTCACGTGTCTCTGGCAGAGCAGCAGTTGAAAACTTGAAACTATTAAAATCAATCTTGTTCATAAGAAAAAAAAATTGGATGCGAACACATACAAAAAAATTAAGTAAAAGATCACGTCGCAAGGATTTTATGGGTAGTTTAAAAAAAAAAGTTTTTAAAAAAATCAAGTGTTTTTTCCTTCTTTTGAATAATTGAGAGGGTTTGAATAAATTTTTCAAAAACATTAAGTATTATTTACATTCAGTTTCGAAACTAAAACATGTTATAAGATTTCGTTTTAAAAACCACTCAAATCGCGATTTTTAATTAATCTTTTGTTTGAAATCTTTACTAGCACTTTATAGATTCATTTGGCGGAAGGAGAAGAGAGGAAATGTAACTTTATATATATAGACTAGCAGTTGACCCGCGCTGCGCGCAGGAGGTTTATAATTTTTTTGTTAATTTTTTATTCATATTGTGATATTTTATTTATTTTTTAATTGATTTTCAAAACATATTATAGTTATTTTCTCTTGAATTATTATCTTTCCATATTTAAATTTGGATTAAAAGCATTTTCTTATTGATCATGTTATAAACTAATATTTCACTTTCAATTTTATTAATCTTTTGTTTGAAATCTTTACTAGCACTTTATAGATTCATTTGGCGGAAGGAGAAGAGAGGAAATGTAAC